AGGCCACCCTTTGCACTGCACACTCTGTTGTGGGTGTGTGCTGTATAAGAGAGGTGTAATGTATGTAATGTAATGTCTCCAGAGCTGCCCTATTGGAGAGGATGCCAGCTCTCTTCAGAGAGTCTGGCCCCGCTAGTGGAGAGACCAGCGAAACTCCTGCTGCTCCAACCACCAACTCCACTCCCTCCTCCACCACTCCTCAGCTCTCACTTGAGGTATACTATAGGACATAGTGGAATCAGTTGAGGGAATCATTGTGCATTGGTAGTGGGTATGTATGGAATTTCACAGACAATACATTATGTAAAGTGCTTCAAAGTGGATCTTTGCTCAAAATTTTCGTGATCTAATTCTTCTGGTGAAGTTTTGCTTTACAACTTACAGTAGACATGTACCACATCCCTAGTTTTGGCTGACTATATACCATCTTCATAGCCCCAGCAGCAGAGAAGTGAGAACTCTCTACTGGATCTTCTCGGAGGAGGGCTAGATGCCCCCTCTGTCTCCCAACCCCCGCCAATTTCCTCTAATTCCACTGGAGGCAGCGACCTCTTGAACCTGCTGGATATGCCGGTGCAACCGGTTTCCACGACCGGTCAGACGAGTAGCGACCCTGCCAATCTGATGTCGTTACTGGGCGGAGGAGGAGGAGGGGGAGGGGGTGTGACTGGTGGAGGTATGGGTGGACTGGAGAGCCTACTGGGAGGACTGTCCAACTCGCTTCCCTCCACTTCCACTTCGATCCCTTCCCCTGCTACCAGTCTAGCTCCCCTGTGCCTGGTGAGATACCGTATAGATCTTATTCAACAGGGTATTAGACTTTCAGTAGGAGAAGGGCAGTACATCAGAGACCTGTATACAGTATCTCATTGCTTACCTTCAACACTGTTTTTGAGCCTTTTATTGTTTGAATCTCTCTGCAGCAATCCCACCGATCACTGCCTTTGAGAAGGCGGGGCTAAAGATTCAGTTCAACTTTGAGCGAAGTCCCGGGAACACTGCCGTGACAGCCATCACTCTGACAGCCACCAATTTCACTCCATCTCCCATGGCAAACTTCCTCTTCCAGGCCGCTGTCCCCAAGGTCAGAGTTCAAGCCACCCCCCCTCAATAGCGGGAAATGTTTGCAGCTGCAAGCATGCACTATTGCTTGCACGTACATGCGTATCAAATCAGAGTGTAATGGTGTGTGTGATATACATTTCCTATCATAATTTCCTGCTCTAAGTGAAGTACATATATACACCATACATAACTTCTTCTGTTGCTAGACGTTCCAGCTGCAAATGTTGCTGCCGTCTGGGAACCTGATTCCTCCCAATAACTCTGGGAGTGTGACTCAAGTCATCAACATTGCTAACCCTCAGAAGGTCAGCATAACTCAACTCTTGAAATAAAGACAACTTTGTGACATTCAAATATTATGCTTAAGTCCCTAATGTTCCATGGAGAGTGTGAATTTGGGAAGGTGTGCTTTATTTAGAGTGTTTTTCACTAATGCTGTGTGTGTGTGTTCTATAGCAACCGTTGAGGATGAGGATTCGACTTAGCTACAATGCAAATGGAGTAGATGTGCAAGAACAAGGGGAGATTAATGACTTCCCCCCACAATTAGCTCAGTAATTTATGGTGTATTATTGGTTGTTTTAGACGTGATTGTGTTCACACGTTTTAGCGCGCTGGCATGCACTACGCGTGCGTAAATTTAGCGATTATGCGCATGCGTAATCGAAGGAATAAGTGCGAACCGCAGCATCCTCGGGTCTCGTCTTCGAGAAAATGCGCAAAGCTGTGACGAGTCTACTGCTATTGCACCTCTTAGGAAGTGTAGGTGAGCAGGTAGTACTGCCTAGCCAGCTAACCACTGAAAGAAGATCGACAGAAGTGCTAGCTACGTAGTTGTTCAATGCAGTTACCGGACAAGAAGTGTGTTCGGAGGAGGGAGCGGTAAGGTTGGCCGATGGTCCGACTGTGGAGATTTGCATCAGCGGGGAATGGAAACTGTCTGTGATGCTTTTTGGGACGTAGCGGAGGCCAGTGTGGTGTGCAGGGAACTCGGATATAGAAGTAATGAAACAGAACTAGATTTTAGCTGTGATTGATAAGCCCTTTTCTATCCATCGCAGATGGTCTTCCTATTACTCTGTATGGCGGAATAACCTACCAAGCACAATACTCCATTTCATGCACTGGAGATGAAGCTCGCCTTTATGACTGTAATCGCCAGGAGACCTTTCTATGTAATAATGTTGGAGTGATATGTTACAATGGTTAGCCTCGTTACACTGCATGGCCCTAGAATAAGAATGTCAATGTCAACATTGTGCAGAGACTGAATGCAACGACACTGACGTTAGACTGGTGGATGGAGTAACCCCAGTTGATGGCAGAGTGGAAATTTGTCTGCATGGGCTCTGGGGCTCCGTTTGTGACGACGATTGGGCTGTCAGAGATGCTGCAGTAGTGTGTCACAACTGGGCTATGGTGGAGGGTAAGCCTCATACTCCTTTTATCTTATTCCTTACGACACTGCATGCATGTCAGTGTCTGTTCCACTCTCGGAGCACCGTGTTCTGTCCAACGCTACGTTTTATCACCTGGACGATGTGGCATGCACTGGAAATGAAAACCTCTTGGCAGATTGCGGTCACGCAGGAGTTGGTGAACACAATTGTATAGTACAGCAGGAAGAAGCTGGAGTTATATGCAACGGTAGGTTTTTTTCAGATTCAATAATAATAATATGTGCATCAACTGTTGTTCATTAATAGCCACAGTAGAGTGTAGTGAGAATGAAGTTAGACTGATGGATGGAGTAACGCCTGATGATGGAAGAGTGGAGATATGTCTCTATGGCTTGTGGGGTTCCGTATGTGATGATGCCTGGGACTATAGGGATGCCCGTGTGGTGTGTCAACAGCTAGGATACAACGGATGTGAGCTGTTTCCCATAATGTGTATATTGTATACCGTACTTGCTTTTTTCAGCATCACGTGCTCTGAGAGAACATGATTTTGCTGTTGACCCACCGCCGTTTCATTTGGATGATGTGTGGTGTACTGGTGCTGAGAACATGCTCAGTGAATGCCTCAACAGCGGAGTCGGCGAGCACAATTGTGGAAGCACAGAGTTAGCAGGAGTTATATGCAACGGTAGGTTTTTTTCAGATTCAATAATAATATGTGCATCAACTGTATAGCCACAGTAGAGTGTAGTGAGAATGAAGTTAGACTGATGGATGGACTAACGCCCTGATGATGGAAGAGTGGAGATATGTCTCAATGGCTTGTGGGGTTCTGTGTGTGATGATGACTGGGACTATAGGGATGCCCATGTGGTGTGTCAACAGCTAGGATACGACGGACGTGAGCTGTTTCCCATAATGTGTATATTGTATACCGTACTTGCTTTTTTCAGCATCACGTGCTCTGATGGAACATTTTGCTGTTGACCCACCGCCGTTTCATTTGGATGATGTGCGGTGTACTGGTGCTGAGAACATGCTCAGTGAATGCCTCCACAGCGGAGTCGGCGAGCACAATTGTCGAAACACAGAGTCAGCAGGAGTTATATGCATTAGTGAGTCAAAAAGTGTATGAATTGGAATGTTTGATGCCTGCTTAAAGACAGGACAGTGTGTGTGGAAGGATCAGTGTACCTGTTGGGAGGCGATGGTTCCAGGGGAAGAGTCCAGTACTGTATGATGGAACCTGGCACTCTGTGTGTGCTGACGACTGGGATAGCACTGGAATAGAGGCTAGAGTCGTCTGCCAGAGTGCTGGCTATGACACCTCTGGATATGGTAAACCCCATTGCCAGAGGAGACTGCATTTGTCTATAAACCTCTCTCCTCTCTCTCTCTTTCAGTTCCTTCTGTTGTCGACTATGGTCGAGGGACTAGTCCAATCCTCCCGGTCAACATCCAGTGTGCCAGTGGAGCCAGCACACTGAGTGACTGTTTTACACCAGGACAAGATGTTAGTCAGTGTACAGATGTGGCTGGTGTTGACTGCCGAGGTATGTACACACGACTTTCTGTTGGAGAGTTGTTTCATTCTCTTATCCCCGCAGCCCCTTGTGTGACTGAAGGACTAACGAACTGCGCATCCTGTGTAAACCCGTTGCACTGCTTCAACTTGGCTTTTCTTGTAACTGTTACTCTGATTGTTTCGCTAAAGGCGACTGTTGCTCTGATATTTCTCTTACAAGGAACTGTTTTCGTGAGTAGGCGTTCATTGTTGTGCGTGTTAGAACAGTGTATGATATTCATTGCAGAGAGAGAGGGGTGCGAACACGGAGTGGTTCGTCTTGTAGGTGGAGTAACTAACTCCACAGGGAGACTGGAGTTCTGTGCTCATGGGGTGTGGGGTAGAGTATGCAATACTCTGGAGTACTGGAGTACCCGACAATGCCAGAGTGGTGTGTCGCCAACTGGGGTTCTCTGAAGACCGTAAGTAATAGAAGTGAATGCCAAGTGGTCTACTCAATTCCCATTTATTACTCCATCTAGGTGCTTTTATTATTGACCGCGACCCTGATAGATTTGGAGACAGCACCAGAAATGCAGTGATAGGAGATGTCGATTGTGTCGGCAATGAACCTGAGGTTGTGGAGTGCTTTCATTCCGGCATCGGAGACCATCGTTGTAGGGCCCCGATTACGGATCCTGACATAATAATCAGCTGCTACGGTTTGTCAGAGTATTCATTTTGTGGAGCTTCAATGTTTAGCAGTTCACTTGTTCCAATGTTGTTCCACAGATGAGGAAAGGGGAATGTGAGGACGGAGAAGTGAGGCTCACAGCTGGAGTTGGTGTCTCTGATGGTTTTGTGGAGGTCTGCGTGGACAGAACCTGGGTCGGAGTCTGCAGGGATGGGTTCCATCTCGACAATGCCAGAGACATCTGTGACCAGCTTACTTTCGACCCCCAAGGTATACACACCACTCTCCAAGGGCACCCCTCAGTTCTTGCATTTAACCCCTGAAAATCTCTAATATGGGCACTTTCTTTTGCCCCATTGGTGTCCCATTAAGTGGTGTTCCACTGTATGTCCATTTCATATTTGTTTCTCTACTAGATGCCATACTAATCGAGCGACTTCCAAATACGGACTACGATCCCGCTTTTCTGAGTCGAGTCACATGCGAAGGCTCCGAGCAACATTTAATGAGTGCAGTCATGCCAGACCTCCAAACGGGGACTGTACTCAGGCGGCAATATCCTGTGGGAAAAGCTCAAGTCAGTGCATATATAACTTCCCCCATTACCCCTTGTTAGTGGAGTTGTTTGTCCAATAATGACTCAGATCAGCCAAGATGCACTGTGCCAGCTGGAACTTCCTCTAACTCACTCACTGATAACGACAGGTATGGAAACACACTGTAGTAAGCCACTCTGAGGAAACTTTACTCTTATCCAATTTCCAGTTATGGGCAATGCTCTGTGTACACCTCTCAGACTGACGTGTGTGACGGTGTAGTGAGGCTGGATATTGATTACGTATATGCCAGGTCCAGACTGGGGACCCAGAGCACCATTGCCCGCATGCTAAACGAAAACGTTAAGAGTCTGGAGAGTATTATTGGTGACGAGGATAGGAACTGTCTAAAGATCGTGTACAGAGCTCTCTGTCATTTCTATCTCCCCCACTGTGGTAATGCCTCCAACCTTACCCCTCCCACCTCCATTTGTCCGGAGGAGTGTAAGATGGTGCAGAAAGACTGTGCCAAGACTTGGAGCACTGTTTTGTTGGCGTTTAACGATGACATGACTCCTGTAATTGACTGTGATGATACCTCCAGTCTCCTGTTTCCTCTGCCTCACTGCTGTACTGGTGCTGGACTAGGTCTGCTGCAACTTCTCTCTTCTTCTTCTTCTTCTTCTTCTTCTTCTTAAATTCTTCTCTCTCTCTCTCTCTTTTTCCTTCAAATCTCTCCTAAATTCTCAGAGAATACCAACATTGAACTTTTCAGATGCTGCAGTCAGAAGTCTAAGAGATGATGGTTCATCATCAGTGAAGAAGGGAGATGATGGGAGTGTTACAGGAGCAGTGGTGGGGGTGGTGGTGTTTATCCTGCTGGCTGTACTGTTGGTGGTGGGTGTCGTGCTACTGCTGGTCCTCTCCTCCAAGAGACACAAGAGAAAGCAACTGGAGAGAATGCAGCTCGACATTCTAGCAATGTGGGTTATTGGGGCTGCATATGGAACTCCTCTAATGTAGAAAGAAAAGGTGTCCCTATTAGAGAGGTGTCCTTAGAGAGTGTTCCACTGTACACAGCTGATGAGGCAGTCTTTTGTTAGTAAGAGTTCCGTATGTCCAACCTTCCATCCATAATCGATTGTCACTGTGAGTGGGGTTGGTCTTTGTCCCACACAGACCTGGGCACGATGCCCCAGCCGTGGTGTATATGACTGAGACTGTTCTGACAGTCAACAATGGAGAGATGGAGCTGGACGAGAAGGGAGGTGATGCTGTGGGTGCAGGCATCGCCGGGCCAAACCCCTACAGTAAGTCACCACCCCATTGAACCTTATGTGAAATGAAAAGGTCATGCTTACAAGAAATAGTGAGAAGGCTGGCTTTACATCAATACGTAGGGCAAAACAAACATAATGCTGGCAAATAGAGTTGCTTGCTACTAGCAAACAGGCTAGCACAGAGTAGTGCAAGTGACAGGCACTATGCAGTTGTGGTATTGTAAGAGGTTTTTTGTTTCACAGGTGACCCAATCTCAACGCGGCCAGCGACCGAGTCGACCAGCTCTCTCCAAGTGCCCGGGGCACGAACGAGGGTCCCTTCGTATCACATGAGGGAGTTGGCCAGAGGCAAGCTACTGGTCAAGACTGATGACATCACTCTTTTGGAGTGTATAGGAGAAGGTACAGTTTACTGCAGCTAGTACTGCAGCATCGTGGACCTTACGCTCCAAATAAAGGACACCTCTCTACAAACAATAATTGGTTCTGCCCTAACCGGTGTGTTATACTACCTCTGAACGAGGGACACCTCTGAATAAAGGACACTTTCGATGCCCTTATTCAGATGTTTCACTGTATATATATGTTCCTCTAATGTTTACTGCAGGGGAGTTTGGAATAGTCTACAAGGCAAGACTCGGACCCTCTAAAAGGGAAGTGGCTGTGAAAACACTGAAAGGTTGTGTTTCCATACTGTCTGACTAGTAAATAAATAGGCAACACGTTTCAATGTGCCTTTGACACCGGCTTCTGTTATCTACTCTCTCTCTCTCTCTCTCTCTCTCTCTCTCTCTCTGTCATATGCACACACACACACAGGTGAATTTGACCAGGTAGAAGTGGACAAATTTGTGGAGGAAAGTTTAAAGATGAGTCGGTTCAAACACGCCCACGTCATGGGGCTTATTGGCGTCTGTCTCGATGCTAGCTCCGCCCCCTACATCGTCATGCCTTATATGGCAAACGGGAGTCTTTTGAAGTGGCTCAAGAAGGAGCGAAAGAACATTGTTCTACCAGAAGAGGCTGATGAGGATGAGGTAATGGGAGTACTTCACTTGGGACACTTTTTGTGAGCTGGGAAAGGGCTTAATTCCACATAGTGTGAAGAAGTGTATTTTTCCTACCAAGTTAGTTTAGCGGGAAAGTAACTCTCAAGGGTGGAAACCTTGGGTGTTTTATGGCTAAGTGAAACATTAACAAAGAGTGTGGGTGGGACATTCTACATGTAAGAATGGTTTCAGTTTTATCAGTAAGACTATCAACCAGCCACCAAATCACAAACATTCTTCTTTAAGAGTGTGGTTGGGGACTCTATTAATGTAAGCATTAAAGTTTTATATATCAGTGAAATTGTCAACCAGCCATCAATCTTTCCCTCGAGAGTGAGTCCAGTTATCATAATTCTCCACGTGTATCAGGTGAGGGAGGTCGGTAAGCGACTGATGGTCATGTGCTCCCAGATAGCCAAGGGCATGGAATACCTGGCAGCTGACAAGTATGTCCATAGAGACCTGGCTGCCAGGAACTGCATGTGAGTCACAATGATCTGCACCACTGACCTGTATAATTGTGGGTCTAATATGATGTATCAACGACATCAGGCACTGCATCGTAATATGATGTTACCATGATAGCCTCCAACAGTGGCTTGAACCAACAAGCAATTACATCAGGGTACGATTATGTTAGCCTAGGATGATGCTTTGTCAAATGAACAAAATTGGCAGGCGAAACGCTCCCACATGTTTATCTGAAATGCACGATTTTCCCATAAATGGCACTGTTACCATAACGTTTGCATTTTCGCTCGCCCAAAAACTGTGTTGTGGTGTATCAGATATTGGGAATGGCAGTCAGAAATAATGCCCTCTGAAGGTACTCCATTCACGGCTGTCTTGCAGGATCGACACGCATTTCCTGATCAAGATCACAGACTTTGGGCTGTCGGAGGACGTGTTTGAGAGGAACTATTTCAGACAGTACTCCGCGAGTGGGGAGGTGGTCAGACTGCCCATCAAGTGGATGTCTCCCGAGAGCCTCAGTGACGGACACTTTTCAGAGAAAAGTGACGTGGTATGTATGTAGACAACTCACTACTGTGGGTTAAATGCAAGTAGACCTTTGAACTAAGAATCTTACGTTATTCATTCCCTGCCAACACATCAAGTCATGATTTAATTCTTAATACTACTTGTGAATAATGTGTCGAGCAGCAAAATCCACACAATTTACAGTACTTTTAATGACGTAATTTTTCCCCCCAGAGAATAGTGTTGTTGATTCAAACCGTGGTCATACTTCATGTCATTTACTTCTGTGTTGTCTCTCTCTCTCTACTGACAGTGGTCTTACGGAGTGACAATGTGGGAGATATTCAGTGGAGGGAAAGCCCCTTACCCCGGAACTGATCCACTCACTCTCATGCAGAGTCTGGAGAAAGGCAAACGCATGCCTCAGCCTTACAACGCCGCCTGCAACCAGGAAATGTGAGCATCGTTTGTATAATTATACCACAATGACTAGTACTTAGTACTATAGGGAATGGGGAAGACCAGCTTTTGGGAGTTGTAGCTCAGTGTGTAGACTTCCAGTCACAACGCTTGAGTTCGACAATAGTTCTTTCCCTACTGGCATTATTCATCCATCTACCAGGTGAATTCCAGACATTCCTCTCTCTCTCTGTTTTCTATGCAGCTATGGTATAATGAGGCAGTGTTGGCATATGGAGCCAATGGAGAGACCGACATTCAAGGAACTCTCTTCAACCGTGTCCAAATGTATCGAACGTGTAGCAGGCTACCTGCAGTTTGGGTTCAACCCATTCACTGGAGGAGAAGGAGAAGGAGAGGGAGGAAAGAGGGGAGAGGTGGTGGAAGCAGACAGTGTTGATATCCAAGTGTTCCCTCCCTCGGTACCGGCTGATACAGTACTCACTAGTAACACAACTTAGTGAGGGCGCACCAGCTGGTGCCATGGTGGGTATATAGGACACCTCTCTCTTTCTAGTTTGTACATCTCTGTCCCTTTTTTACCAGTGTATTCTCTTCATGTCTCAGTAGCTAAACCTGAATTCTACACAAGTCAGTGTATATATTTTAAGTGTGCTATAATATGATCAGTTAATGATTTTGTAACTTATGCTACACAGTAGTGTTCAAGTTGTTTCCTCTGAATCTTGTTCGGTATCTGTCACATTTTCTCTCTCTCTCTCTTGGTCTTCTTCTTCTTCTTCATCTTCTTTTTCATCATTGTCTTGGTCCTCGTCACCAGTTCCCGTGCCAGTATCCTCCACAGTGTTCCCAGTCCTCTCCTCCACACTCCCTCTCTCGTCTTTCCACATGATGAGACGCTCCAGATCACCGGCAAGACTGGTACACACGGCTGTCGTGTAGCTGTTGAACATTTGGTGTCCTCGCGCGATACCGTACTGTGCTCTGGCCTCGTGGAGAGCTGCTGGGTCGTTTAGCTCTGAGCATAGCTCATAACATCGGCCAAAGAAATCCACTGCCTTCCCATAATCTCCCTGTATCATAACCAATGGGGGAGGTATAGTGAGTGTGTACAGGAAAGCCTTGGAATAAGGGACTGAAGAGAGTGGCTCACCAGGGTGTTGTACATGGTTCCAATGGCACTGCAGGCTCTGGCCATACTCTGAGGCCCTGCACCATCAGCCACCTCCACATACAGCTCCAGCTGCTTCACCGCTGTCCCCAGATCTCCCTTCCTGTGCGACAAAAACACTTTCCTATAATTCTTACACCAGTGTGTTCCTAGGAAAACACGGGACATGATTATACTGGGGGATGTGTGTGGTGAAACATGTCTGGCCCCAAAAACATAATCATTTGCACTGTTTTCTCACTCACTTTTCGTAGCACTTGGCCAGAGCTTCGTAAGCATTCCCAGCCCCTGTGCTGTGTTTGTGGTACTTGCTCCACTCCAGATACTTGCGGTAGTACTGGGAGTTGACACAGCAATGTGAAAGTCAACAACCATCTATTACTGGACACACACACGTGCATACTCAACCACACACCTGGATGGCAGTATCAAGGTCTCCAGACAGCTGGTGAGCCTGCCCCAATCGGTAGCATGCCAGTCCCTCCTGACTGGAGTTCCTGCCTATTAAAACAATCAGAGTCTACTTTCAAACTACTATATCATCATTACACAGACCTCTATTACACACAGACTGCCATTACACATACACAAATAACTCACTATCTCTTGCCATTTCGTGGGCCTTTTTGAGCAGAGATATAGCTTCCTGTGGGCTTTCAGCTTCAATCTGCACAAACACACACACACTCACTTCTCTATGTCATTGTACTCCCCAACCTGTTTGGCCAGGCTGGTATAAACTCTTCGCAGGTGTTCGCACGCTATTTCAAACACGCTGTCTCCCGACTCGCTGCACCATTTCCACTTGCCAGCCAGTCTGCGATAGGCCTCAAAGTGCCCTGCAGCTCTCTGCAGATCTCCTGGGTAAGAAAACAGAGAGGGAGAGACTATAGTCAGCAAAAGACCATCATACACAAGAGAACTTGCAGCTAAAAGTCGACAATATTGCCAGAAATTCACAAGCCCCAAACTAAGCAGCTTTGCTATAATACACCAGACAATAGTGTTGTTATACACAAGTTGCCTTGTGTGTGGCTGCCGTAAACTGTCTCCACCTCTTTTCTCCATGGCCACACCCACACTGCACTGCCCCTCCCCCTCCGCCCTCTGATTGTCTCCCTTGATCCTCTGCGCCACCTCCAGACTCCTCTGGTGGAAGTGAAACGACAGCCATGCCCCCTGATTTCTGTCAAAGTACTGCGCGAGACTCTTCAGAGCCACATAGACACCCTCTAGATTCCCGGTTCGCTCCGCGTCCTCCGCGGCTGTGAGCTGAACACGGAGGTACTCCAGTTTGGTGTGGTCGGAGTGGATCAGGGGCTCCAAGAGGACGGCGGCTGGTCCCGCCCTCTCGTGCTCCCGCCTCTGCTGCTGGACCAGGTTGAACAGCTCTGAGAATGACTTATGGAAACCTTTCTCCAGCATCTCAGCACAGATGTTGTGGAGAATGGAGTGCCTGTAGCTGTGGACCATGATATGTCACATTACAGTGTAATCCCCTCAAATAAGGACACCTCTCTAATAAGGATGGATACCTTTCCTTCCCCTGCAAGAACAGTTCTTGCACGAGGGCACTGTCTCTCCCACTAGTGTCCTGATTATCCTAAGCATCTTGCTCTGTGCTGCAATCTTACTGACCTGGCTGGATTGACATCTTTGGCGAGAGTTCTCTTCTGTTGCTTGTCCTTAGCTCCAGCTCTCCGCACGGTCGGGCGGCCGCTGGACCTCAGCGAGGAAGGCTCAGCTGGTGTAGTTTGGACGAGTGAGATTTGCCGTCTTACTGGACTCAATACTTACCCTCGGATGTAGTAATCTGCTTGGCTCTGGGATGGGAGATGGGTATAGGAGGTAGCTGATGGGTGCGCGACTCCCCAGATCCGACACCCTGACCAGAAACTGAGAGTTGAGGGAGAACGTTGGTCGCCATTTTCAGTGTTATTCGCCCAGCCGTTGCTTCGCAACCGTGCTTACTTCACAATTCCGTTCCCGATTTCGGAGACTTTGGAACGGAAATTCAGAACATGGCGTTGCAGCGAGTCAGCTGCTGTTGCCTTCTTCTGGCGAGCTTTCTCTCTCCCCTGCTGGCTCTAGAGCAACCTGAAACTGTCGAAGATGCTACGTGTTCCGCAGAATACTGCAGCGACCCGGTCACGTGCCGGGAGAACTGGAGGACGGGGAGAGACGAGGGAAAAAGGGGGAGGAGCTCTGCCTAGTGTGCATGGTCGCAAGCCTCAGAGACTGTCAGTGGTGGACAGTTCAGATGTCCACGTATCAGTCAAGACTGCAGCCAAGTACCATGATGATCGTCTCTCCCTTCTCTTGCTCACGTGGTTTCAGACCCTTCAGCCTCAGCAGGTGAGACTGACACTCCATTATCACATCACTGCTGGTTTATAGCTATAGCTGTGACTATAGCTGGATCCGTCTACTACTAGGTTCATATTGTCACTGATGATGGAGCCATGGATTACTGGACATCCACTGCTGAAGAATTCGGTACATACGGTGCATACGTTCAGGTTTTGCATTTCACTTTTCATGTCTTTAGTAGCTTGAGAAACTGTGTCATACTTTTATCTTCAGGTTTCAAGGTTGCGACAGCCGACGGCTGCTCAGTTGGTCATTGCAGGTGTATACACTTATTACAGCCGTAATTACCCTCGGCGCGCATGCGCAGCGAGTCGTTCGCGTGTCTGTACTGTCTATAGTCTGTGTACGTGTGTCTGTCTACGACTATTCTCGCACTACAGGCAACGAGGCGGCTTATGAGCGATTCCTACAGCTTTAGCGGTACATGGGCTAGAAAAACAAAATGGCGATTTTGAGAGCGACGAACTGGCACCGTCGCGGACAGCGTTGCGTCGCCCAACCGTCAATAAGCGGTGCGCATGCGTGTATTAGACGCACCGACCTGATCCGCTTGCTCTGTGTACCTTTTGGAGGCACAAGAAGCCACAGCGAAGGGTGTGCATCGACTCCCGCATGCTATCTACTGCTGTAGCTAGCCAGTGTAGACTCTCTTTAGCACTTTAGTGCTTTTCATTTACACTGTTCCCATTCAAGTAATGGGTGGTCTTATGGATAAGCACCCCCTCTCGTGAGGTCCCTGGTTCGATCCCGAGTGGCTAGGTGGTTAGAGTCGTGGGGACTGACACCATAGGTGCCCGGTTCGTATCTCGATCCCGCACTAAAGTGTCAGGTGGTCCAGAGCATTGGCTGGGAACAGCTCTGGTTCCTCCCCTTACCCACAAATCTACCACTGACCCACGTTTCTCAAAGGGCAGCGTATAGTTCGGCATAGCACTGCGTCCGTAGATGTCTGTCTGGAGAGATGAAGGGCTGGCCGTTTTTAAAAATATTTTTTCAACCTTGGGTTTTAAAATTTTTTTTTTTGCACTAACAATCCACGGGTAATACGAAAATTAATAGAGAGATGAAAGGTTGGCAATTTTTCAACCTAATATATTTTTTACCCTCAAACAGAAATAGGACATGCCATTTTTTTCATGGAAATGGTGCATAACATGCTGTTCTTTTTTATGATATGTCAAGACCATCAATTGTGGTGGTGCCACACTTGTGTATGGGTTCCACATTTCTATATAGTGTGCCGAGGGTTTGCACTTTAGTGCTTTTCATTATTTTATTGCACCAGGGAATGTCTGTGTTGTAAGTCTGGCGTGGAATATGAGCAGTTTTACAGAGAGAGAGACCGCAGATCACACTTCAAGTAAGTCATGCTCTCTTGTTGGCCGCTCCCAGATCAATTTCCTTCCCTCTCTCGCTCTGTCTTGCTCTCTGCAGATGGTTCTGCCATGTTGATGATGATGTATATGTCAATATACACCAGTTGGTCATCCTCCTTCACAAGTATGATCCACTGACAGAGAAGGTTTATCTTGGGAGATGGTCTCTTGCTCGGACTTCAAAACTACAAGTAAGATATTCTGTATAAATGGAAACACTTTGCAGACGACACTAAACTATCTGGCAGTACCCCTCTCCCTGAATGGAAGACACCTCTCTAATAGGACACCTTTCCTTCACCAAGCACATTTCTTGACCCCTGAAACACCTCTCTAATATCAACACTATCTTCTGCCCCATTAGTGTCAGGATTAGAGGAGTTCCTCTAGAGAGTATATATAACCTAAAGCAGTGTGTCTATTCCTAACGTGTTTTTATTGTCTACCATTTCTCACTATGAACAGATGAGGAGAAACATCCCAAATCTGGTTAGTGCCCTATCCCCTGAACTTATGCTAGCGTGCACCTCTCGTACAGAAGTCAAATGAGTTTGCATTTGGGACTGGAGCTCTCTACTGCATCAGCAGTTGTCTTATGACAGAACTCGAGCCATACTTCAGGTCTTCTTTCCTAGACTGTAACTTAATTGGCTCCAACTAGTTTTATCAGCAAAGTTTCGTTGGTCGGGTCGTTTTCCTCCTCTCTCTCTCTATACGTAATGTCTCTCATTCTCAGAGGCTCACAGAGGTTTGTGTCTATGTGTAAACTACTGCAGTATACAGATGACATGACAGTTGGAGCCACAATAGGTCAGAATGTTTATTAACGTTTGCTTGTCTTCACACAATATTGTTTCCTTTTTCAGAGTCAATTTTGGGGTATAATTTTACTGATGTTGATCTTATTTTTTCTGAACTTCACGCAATCAGTCACATTCCGGCCTCCAAGCTACCATCCCTCGTATGTCTATCTACAATAACTCTCTTATGGATCTCTCGCTCTTTTTCTCTCTCTCTCTCTCTCTCTTCTCTTCTCTTTCTCTCTCTCTCTCTCTCTTTCTCTCTCTCACTCTCTCTCTCTCTCTCTCATTCTGTCAGATATCCATCAGCTATGGAAAGAACACTCTACCTGGAGGTGGAGAAATAAAGAGACACGTCTCAATACCGCAGCCTCAATTCACCCTAGACGAAGACCCCACCAGGTATATATGAGTCTCTATGTGAGTTTGAAATAGCTAGAACCTACCAGCAAAAACTGTTGAGTTTCTCGAAAACATTTTGAATACTGCCAGCAGAATAATCTTATTTCTGCAGGTTCCTCTCCTTCCACTGCCTCCTGTACTCCAGTACATCGTGGTGTAGGTAGCATTGGCTCACTAGCTCAGACTATACACTTCTCCCATCACTACCTATTGCCGGACCTTGTCAACAAGTAACCACTGTCACATTTTGGGTTAAAAAAACATTTCCTGCAATGACAACTGTGACATGAACAACTCCAGACACAAAAAAACACGGTGACTATAAAATTAATAATGATCTTGTTAATAAAAAATATGTGCAATGAAGAGTGGATGTTTGGATGGTGAATGATATGGTGTTAATGAGGGGGTGTGGTTACACGCTAGTCTCACTCTTGCTCTCGGACGACCCCTCGACCCCGGAGTCTTCGTATGTCTGCAGCTGTATCGTGATCCCTGCCTCCGTCTTGATTCCCTTCAGGAGTTGACTGACCAGTTCTGGCGACTCTGTGCTGCTCCGGTCTCCTCCGAACATGGCCTCTCCCTCTCTCGGAGGACACGCAGAGCTGAGGGCCAGGTAGCCAGCAGTCACCTCCATGATGTGGTCCACCTCTGTCACTATGGACTCAAACGACGGTCTCTTTGTCGGGTCCAAGTTCCAGCAGTCCCGCATCAGTTTAAAGCTGCATGGAGAAGCCGGGGGACGGGAAAATTTAAGAGTGGAGAGAGACAGTAGTATAAACACTGTACAACATCCAATATTTTTGAAGCACATAATTTTCATGGTTCAAATCCTTGAAAACTTTGCTCGGCGAAAAGGTAACCTCAGTGTAGTGGGTGTGGCCGACCAAGTATGCAAACATGGAATAGTTCCAGTTTGAGATGTGAAGGGAGAGGAAAGAGAGCTTTGCGTTCATTGAGACTCACGCAAAGTGAGGGCAGGCGGCGTTGGCAGGTTTCTCCAGCCTCTCCCCGTCCTCGAGGATCCTGACCAGGGACACGGGGTTGATACCGGGGTATGGCGTCTTGCCCCCACTGAACACCTCCCAGCAGGTGATCCCATATGACCACTGCATGAGGGTGAGAGAGATTGACACTTTGTTTTTTGCAGTACACATGGTAACATTTCTCTACTGAAATGAGGACACCTCTCTAAAGGGACACCCATGTACATTTAATAGCTGTATATAGCTCCTGGCTCCTCAAAAATGTAGAAAATGTGATTCAATTTCAAAACAGTGTCACACAATAGCAGTAAACAGCCTGAATAGTGAGAATGTTATAAAATGGCGTGTGCGGCTATCTTACCACATCTGTCTTCTCAGTGAAAATCCCGTCGTTCAAGCTCTCCGGAGCCATCCACTTGATGGGCAGTTTGACAGCTGCGTCCTTGTCTTGTCTGAAGTAGTTCTTGGCGTACATATCCTCGGAGAGCCCGAAGTCGGAAACCTTTATCACATTATGAATGTCCATCCTGCACACATTTCATAGCGTAGATTAAACCTAATACGTTATGCCAATCTCTATTATCAAGCAAATTTTGTATACAGCGACATTGCGTTGTTCCAATAGTATGGAGAGGCTTCGCGTAGATAAGATATGAGACTCCCAGCAATTGTAATACATCAGGCTGTTGGCAGTCAAAGAATGGTAATGGGTTTCAATCTGTCAAACTCCACTATTATAATACACTACCCCCCCCCACACAATTGTAATTCTAACACTTATTGAATTAGCGTGGGAGGGATTACCCACACTGTATATAACCCCTCCCCCACTGAATTGTCACGTACTTGAATTACCCTTTGGAGGTGCATCTGACCTCCAACTAAAGGGTTAACTAACTCACATGCAGTTTCTCGTTGCAAGGTCACGATGAACAAACTTTCTCTCAGCTAGATACATCATCCCCTTGGCAATTTGGTGGATAATATCCAGGAGCTTCTTCCTAACGTCTTCGACCTTTACGGAGGAAATGTCACCAACTCACTGGAATGAACCGTGATGAATGTGCAAACATGGACAATGGGTAGCAAACTGATCATGTTACTCCCTCGGGACCAAAACACTCCACTATACATTACCATGGCGATGTGAGTTTCGGAATGAGGGAAATGTGTAGCTGTAATTCGTTTATCACATTCCATTCAATAAACATAGGGTCATGTTAAGCCAGTGATCCATTAAGGTATTAATGATCTAGACGCTTTTAATCCACTCAGTAATCCCTTGCATATTCACATCCAAACAGTCTAGTGGACTAGTAATCTACTCAGTAATCTGCTGTATACTACTCGTGCAGGTGCTGGTATAATCAACTCAGTAATCTCTTGTATACTCACATCCTCTTCGTCATCCTTCTCATCCACCAAGATTCGATGCCGTTCTTTTCTCAGATATGTCAGGAGACTCCCCTTTGCCATATAAGGCATGACAATGTAAGGGGCGGGGCCAGCATCCACGCAGACCCCAAAGAGTGTGAGGACATTTGGATGATCAAATTCCTTCATTTTTACGCTCTCCTCGAGTAGCACGTGGATGGCTTCCTTGTCAAAATAGCCTGTGTGTGATTGATCGATGGTTTGTTAACTTACTACTTGACGGAAACTGGAGGTATAATACAAAGACTAGGCTGCCGCTGTAACAATTACCAGTATCAGTTGTCCATCTGAAACGTGGCCTAATTCCAGTTACTTTATGTGGTATGTGTTTGTAAAGGTAGATCTCTTGCATGTGACGTGGTAAACCAAGTCGGGAGGAAGACCATGCAATTTGTGACTACCAAATTGGCAGGTGATATCAAATTAGTTCCAAGAACTACAAGTAATTATATCTATTTCCTAGTGTTTTGGGTAGTGAGTTAGTGTCCACACCTTTTAGGGTCTTCACTGCAACAATCTGCGGTTCCGTGGTGCGACCGTTCTTCAGACCCTGCAGGTAGTGGGCCTTGTAGACTATACCAAACTCCCCTGTGGGGGGGAAAAGAGAGAGAGAGAGAGTTAGGGAAGAGAGAGAGAGAGTTAGGGGAGAATCTGTGCAAACGTATGGAACTGTAAAGTGAGAGAGAGAACAAATGTATCAGAAAAAGAGAGAGAAGAGAGAGAATTTACATACACAGGACAGGTACAGAGCATAGAGTGGGACAGAGCAGAGAGTGAATAATAGGACTCTATAGTAGAAGTTATATACCAGTGCCGATGGAGTCTAGTAGCCTGAGCTGTGACTGAGGAATGAGCATGTCAGTTGTGAGCTGGCGGAGATAGCGGGAAGATATTGGTGAGAGGGTCGGTAGGTAAGACGAGGCCGTGTACGGATTCAGGGAGTCTGCATGAGAGAATGTGGTGGGGGAAGGGTTAAATGACAGCTGAGCTATTTATCATAGTGGGTGGTCCAGGAATAAAAGCAGGGGATCTGGGGCCTCGCCTAAAGTCAAAACACGCCATACAGAGAGGCTGACACATGCAGACAGAAAGCTGATCAGTGAAAGACTCATTACTGAGTAGGGTGTGTTTGACCGGCAATGGGATCCTGTGACTAATGGAACTAAAGGATCTGAGGCATGTGGATAAACTGAATCTGGGAACTGGAAGACTATCTGGATCTCGGATCTATTTGTTTACAGACTTCGGCTGAATCTGTTGTGATGACCTCCAATAGCTGTATTTCTACTGACCTTAGCTTTATTTCTACTGACTTTTACTGACTTTGCTACGATTAATTTTTACCGTCTTCCACAATTTTACTGATTTCGGCTAAATTTTTACTCACTTCGACTGTAGCGGATAAAGTCGTCTGACATCTGGCGGTTGATTGGGGCGTGGCTCACGGGACCTGTGCCACATGCCGCAGCTACTCCGTTGGATTTCCCGTTGAGAATGAGTGATCGTGTGCTCTCTCTGTTGTGGAGGTTGGACAACATCTCCAGTGCATTCACTGCCTCTTCTCGCCTGAGATGAAGAGGGAGGGAGAGGAGGGAGAAAAACAAATAGCCGACTCAAAACAGAGTAATGACAACGTGTGAAGTATTTCCAACTTTGCGAGCACTCACTGACCCGTGAAGGATTGTTTTGAGTCTCCTGAATTTCCTGACAATCACAAATGCGGCGCCAGCGCCCGTGGCTCCCAGGACCAACAAAACAACGAGTGTCACGGTGACGCCGGCGGCCACTCCAGCAGAATTGCCGCGAGAGCTTCCGTCACTAACAGATGGTTTCGAAACGATGCCTCCACTGTGACAGCAGTATGGTAGGGGTTCTAGCAACCTCCCCAGATTATCACAGGTGGTTCCTCGCCCTAGCTCTGTATCCAGGTAAGCCATCCACAAGCTGGGGCATTTCTCTTCCAATTGTCTACATTCATCTGGACACACTGGTCCAGGGAGACTCGTAGCATCATTGACGTTGAGAGTGAAGAAGAGAGAGTTGCAGACAACACCACTGAAAAGTTGCTGGCACTCGAGACTGGCTGCCATGAATCCCTGTTTTATCTGGTCCTGCAGAGCCTGGCTCAGTTCAGTCTCGTCCACCAGGTTTCTCGTAGCTCCTCCCCCGAGCTCGTCCAGTCGACGTGGTAGAAATATGTACGTCCCGTTTTCAGTACTGCAGATCTCAGACCTTCCCTCATAGGGGACTATCTCCCCATACCTGTCGAGGTGGTGAGGTCAATATTATTGCCACTCTGGATTCACTGTAATATAAAACTCACTTGGTGAGTGTCTCGTGCTCCAGTGATGGTTGCTCGTCCAACTCCTCACACCTCTGTGGCAGCTCTGAAATGAAATTATGGAAATTGAATTATCGGTTGTGACAGGATTTGATTGTGAGGATCTCACCTGCTCGGCACACAACGGCCACCTCGTTGCTGCGGTAACAGTTGTGCCGTCTCATCTCTCGATGGCTACAGTCCAGGAGACTCGTCTCGTTTCCCTGACAATGCACATCGTCAAGATGGATCGGTCCCATCCCGGATCCAAATAACGGAGTTTGGACAACCACCCATGCTACAGTGAACATGCCACCCATATAGAATGCCTCTCTATCAACAACAATTTCTCTTACATTCGCTGAAACCCAGCTGTTTACACACAACTTGGGCCTCGGAGTCTCCAAAGCCGTGGTTGCACACACTGCCCCAGACCCCTCCGTCGCAGAGCTCAACTCGACCGCCCATTTCACTGAGACCACCGGCCAAACGAACAGCTCCATCCACACACTGAGGCTCAGGGGATGCTCCTAGTAATAGACACCAGGAATGATCTTCAATACCTCAGTATAAGGTCTTCAGAGAGATTTTTGATTTGTACTTGGCTGCTGTTCAATTTAGTTACCGCATACATTTCTTCCCCATAAGGCTACATAGGATACCGTGAGTACATTCATCTCTGCATAAGTGGACTACTCCAAATAATTGAAATGCACCACTACAAATAGGTATCAGTTCTTCCTAATTGGGTGTCATACGATTCTAATCGCACACTTGTCTACAATCAATCATTTGCATACCTGCGCACCATACTCCAGTGCAATTCTGAGCCTGGCAACCAACAAAGAACCCGGGACTGGAGGACTGGCACTGATAGAGAGAGTCTTCATTTCCAAGACATTCGACGTCTTTTATCCACATCCTCTCACTCTCACCAAACGTGCCTCCGGGCAATGCAAATGCATCTGGATTATATAGACAGAAGACCACAGAAAGAAAGAAAGAGCAAAAAAGTCACTTGTGACGCAAGAGAGATTTAATAATGAGGAATAAGTTGTTGGTTGAGAGGTTTATCAAGGCTTCTCACTCTCTGTTGGGAATCCCAGCTGTTTGCAGGTGACGGCAGCGTCAATGTCTTCAAACTGGTCCTCACAAACAGCTCCCCAGAGCCCTCCCTTGCAGATCTCAAGACGACCGTTCCAGGGCTCTGTCCCATCCACAAGTCTCACGGCATTTTCTTCGCAGACCCTCTCCTCACCTGTGGAGCCAGTCACATCGTGGATTTCAACTCTCATTGTCACAGGAAACGGACTATTTATTGGTTTACCAATGCAGTTATCAAATTGCAGAATATCTCGACAGCAATCGCCTCTCGTTTCGTTTTGTATATGGTCAGGATCTAGAATGGTGTACTGGGAACAGTACAGCGAGCAGAAGCAAACCTCATCGAAATCAAAGTTTTCGTTTGGCTGGCCGATCGGCGAGCAGCCGACAGGGTTAAAGTGGAAACTGTTCCAGCTGCAGCGAGCTGTGGATGTCGCAAGAAAAGGAATCATATATATATATTGACACCACTGACTGACCATCACAGAGGACTCCCGCAGCGTAGCATGTTCGGTTGTCTCTGACCTCCAGAGAGCTACACTGAGCCAGAGTGGACTCACTCCCACTACAGTCCACCTCTGTGAGAAATGGAGGAGAGATTCCAGGCCCAAAATCCATCGTCAGATGTACATCCACTGATTCATCTGCATAGAGAGAAAACCAGTCAACAGCTAATGTTTGAATTCCCTCTCACAGTTAACCTTGCAGTCCCAGCTGTGTACAGACAACATAAGTATTTTCATCACTCCAGTTGTCGTTGCATACCGTACCCCAGACATCATCTCTGCATATTTCAACTCTTCCTTCCTTGGCATCTGATCCACCCACCAACCTAACATCCCCCTCAACACATGTGTCTCCTGTACAGAATGGATGAAGTATAGGAGGTCACAATCACCCTGATAATGATAAACAGGCTCTCACCTTCACAGACGACACCGGCATTTTCCAGATGTGCAAAGCAATCCTCGTCACTGACACTGGGGCAGTCCAATATACTGTCTTCGTGTCCCTCGCAGCGAATGCTGTCCAGCAGCACTCTCTGGCCTGCTAGATCATCTCTGTCAGCCACAAATCTGGAGAATTTCGAGGCAACTGCATCTATGGGAAGACCACCAGGATTAAGACATGTTTCAATTTTTGTGAGTCACTGCTTACTTTGTCGATGGTAGCCTAGCATGTGACAGATGACGCCAGCGTCTCTGCTGTCGAAATGTTCATCGCACAGTGTCCCCCAGGAGCCATCCATACACAACTCCACATAGCCTTCAGTGGCTCTCCTACCTCCTACCAGCCTCACCGTACCCTCATCTTCATCTCCACAACAAAACTCCCCACAATCTATAAACACAGTCCAAGATGGCTAATGAGACCTAGATACACTCGACAAAGGCAAGGACGCTGCTCTTGAATCAATTTGTGAGCGCTTTGGCCTAAATACCACCAAGTTTCTGATGCATTTTGGCCTTGTTAGACTTGGTGCCAGCTGTACCACACTTGTGAGGAAACTTTATAATACTCGCTTGAATTTCTGGCTGCATAACTGAGCATTACTCGATTCTTCAACACTATAAACTAGTAATTGATTTCTATTGCAGCAAGAGAGAGGCAGATCCAAGGCTCTGGGGTGTATAGGATTTCATTCAGGGGTAATGAGGATGCATTGCATTGCCATGTTAGTCCCACTGATAAAATATTCATACTCATAAAGGACATGGGCAGTTGACAAAATACGGGCTCTGTACAACGACACGTATATACGCTGGCTACCCTTATCACAATTTTCAACAGAGCTAATTGTTCACAATTCTTTTACAGAGCTAACACAATAACGAAATATCCTCATGGCGACGCTAATTACAAAGTGCGAATACACACATGTCGCATCATGTCTATCTACTGCATGCAGCGATGCGAAAAAATTACGCTTAGTTCGAAAAGAGAAGCCTACCTTGTTGTTGGGCAGAGTCCGACACCAGCAGACACCAGAGCAGTAACGAGACGAGTCCGACACGACGCATTCTCTGATAGCTATGTCTTTTCGCTTCGACTGCGCTCCTCGTCCAAGCAGTGTGATTACACACGCAGTACAAGCCCTCCTCTCGCAGTCTTTTAACGATGGAATGCCTCAAGGTAATGCAATTTACTGGCAAATACCGCTGCGCATGCGCATTGCAAAAATCTCTGCGCACGCATGCGCGCAAATTAATACCAGTCAATGGAGAGCAGTGCAGTTGCAGTGTAATCATTATGAGGAGAGGGGCAATTGCCCAATATTAAAAAAACATTATCAGTGAATAGTGTGTGCATGTGTCAAGTGCTGTGATTGTTTCTGTCAAGCCTCCTAGCATTGTCCTGTACTCTTCTGCTGAGCCACTCCACCCCTTCAGGAACCCCTTCCCTGTTAGTATAGAGTGTGTGTGTCGATGTCTCTCTCTCTCTCTCTCTCTCTCTCTAGTGGTGTCTGTCTCACCCCTTCAGAAACCCCTTCCCTGTTATTATAGAGTGTGTGTGTCGATGTCTCTCTCTCTCTCTCTCTCTCTCTCTCTAGTGGTGTCTGTCCCACCCCTTCAGAAACCCCTTCCCTGTTAGTATAGAGTGTGTGTGTCGATGTCTCTCTCTCTCTCTCTCTCTCTAGTGGTGTCTGTCTCACCCTTTCAGAGCTGAGACTCTCTGTATTCTGCAGTCTCTGTCACCAATGGAGACTGCACTCGTGTCAAATGCTGCCTCTACTTCTGTCAGTGGCAACGCATCCTAAGCATAAAGTATATAGTAATATAATTATTATGAGGACACTATTAGGGATTTGGTAATGTTCTACTGAATACACACCCACTGGGATTCATCTGTGAAGTGAAAGGCTCTTTAAAGAGAGCAAGGATTGCGAGGCTCAAGGCTTACAGAGATGTATATACATAGCAAGGGCTGAGGCACAGCCAGTGGTGATAGCTATTGAATCAGGCCATACATGTGAGTGGGTAAATCTGATTTGGGTCTGGACTAGGGGACAATTGGTGACCATCGTATGCACTTATAAGTACAGTGCCCTCACAAAACAGTCCTGTTTGTTGGCTAGGATGAGGAGTGGTACACCACTTAGATCTGGGTGCAGGATCACCTTTCCTGGTCAGAGACAGACAGACAGGGAGATAGAGAGGGAGGCAGTAAACACCCTCACCCAGTTACTGGGAACACACCACGTGCCATACCGAGAAAAATATGACATAACTCGATGTATTGGATTAGATATATGTCCATTACTGAGGTGTTTATCATCCTAGGAGTTACTTCTCTGCCAAGAATAGAGTTATATCAAATAATCATGAACTATCACCCACTCGCCCACACGGAGATTTTTGAAGGACAATACTTTTCTGTGATTACTTTTGTGGATTTTCTTTATAATACAACTTTGCAGTTGACTCCCACAACCAAAATACTTATCCTTTCAGTTTTCTGCAAGATGATACATACGCCCCTAAAGACTATGATGAGTGGTTATGAGACTCACTAAAGGTCTGGGCAGAAATGGCAAGGTTTTCCGGATCGCAGGAATCAACGACGTAGATGACTCCATGGGACTCTGAGTAATACTGTAGGAGACACATCAAATGTGGTGCTCAACGTGAGGATGAACAGTAGAACCCCTCTAATCCAGACACAAATTGGACAGAAGAAAGTGTCTCTTCTAGTGAGGTGTCCCAATTTTGGCAATTGAAGAAAAACTGATCTTGGGAAAGAAAGGTGTCCTTATTAGAGGTCCTCATTTCGGAGTTGTCCTTAGAGAGGGGTTCCACTGCAATACAATATACAGGGAGAGGGTGTAAATAATTACATACCTTGTCCCATAGTGACTGGAGGTCCTCCTGCCCACCCAGGTCCCAGAAGACAAGCCGGCAAGACCTCATATCTATCCTCGCCACTGTATATACCGTTGATGATACGTATATAATGCCTCTTACACCGTGTAGCTACGGAGCGTCACGTGCGTTCCATGTACCGTTCAGTCCCACTGTGGTCGTGATCTTGTCCATGGGGATCCCATTGTAGCTTCTGATGAAGAGATTTTTCGTCTTCTCCAGTAGCGTCTGCGAACCACCGGCCAAACAATTATCAGATTCGACGGATTTTTGCACTATTATATATATTCGTTGTCTTACCGTCTTCCCGGCGTTGTCCAGGCCCAGTATCACGATGTAGTACTCTTCCTTTCGGAAAAGGTAGTCCCACAATCCGCGAAGAAGAGTGAACATTTTGTATTTCAATATATCTTTGTTTCCGCTCTAATTAAGCGGCGCTCGATCCCGCAGCGCGCGCTCGATAAAACACCGTGGTTGTTTACATAAAAAATAAGTTAAAACAAAAAAACGGTTATTTCATTTGTCCACTAAAATGATTGGGTCCCTGTCAGAGTGTCTAGGTTGGAAATGGTTGGCCAACATGTCGAATCCAAACCAACGAAGGACCCGGGTTGGTAGGCGTGGTCGGGCAGGGGAGGAGGGGGAGAGGGAGGAGTAGAGGGGGCCTCCGCCCAGTGATGTTGTCTGTGAGGCAGCTATGTCGGAGGGTCTAGGCTTTCGATAGCTGCAGAGAGAGAGAGAGAGAGTGGAACATTTGAACAGCTCTACGCGACGTTTGCACATGCACATTGCCAAATGGCAAACATTGGGTATAAGTGTGCTAATTAGGTATAGGCCCACTTTGCAGTTGCCAATACTGTGATGTTTTCTTAAAACAGAGGAGAGTAAAACTACCATTTCAGCAGTAGAGAGTTGCAGACGACAGAGACGGAGCTGAATGCCATGGCGATGCTGGCCATCCAGGGCTGGAGGACGAGTCCCAGGGGAACAAAGACACCCGCAGCCAACGGGATCCCGACCAGGTTGTAGACCACTGCCCACAGGAAGTTGAGACGGATCCTCCGGACTGTTCTCTTGGACAGATCTACTGCCGCCACCACATCCATCAGATTATCCTGTCAGAGATTTTCAATTGTTTCATTTGCACTACTAAAAATCTTAGTGTGAAGGGTTCAGGCCCATTATGTACATACATTGTGTGTCTATGCACCTTGACTAAGACGATGTCAGCGGCCTCCACAGCCACATCAGTACCAGTTCCAATTGCTATGCCGACGTCAGCCTGGGCCAGAGCTGGACTGTCGTTTATCCCGTCTCCTACCATGGCAACCATCTGCCCCGCCTCCTGTAACGAGGACACCTTGTTCTTCTTGTGAGAGGGGAGGAGTTCCGCATACACCTCGTGGGCCGGAATTCCAACCTGGAGTGAGGTCATGTGATCTCTACACAAGGTCATGTGATGCAGAATTAAAAGGCATGTGATCTTCACACGTGATAGAGAATAAATGAGGTCATGATAATACATGAACCTCTCATCTAGGTAAAAAGGTCATGTGATCTTTACATGAGATCATGTGATGAACAATAAGAGGTCACATGACTGACCTCCTCGGCGAGAGCGTGGGCAGTTCTGCGGTTGTCCCCGGTGACGAGAGCCACTCGCAGGCCCATGTGATGCAGCATTTGGACCACCTGTGACGTTTCTGGTTTTACCAGATCAGCAATGACCACACCCCCTAGCAGGAGACCTGGGGGAGGGAAGGAGGCAGAACTACAAGTGAGAGATGAAATAAGGACGAGTCTACAGCTACTTAGACCGCAGTCTAACCTATATTTACCTGCTGGGAAGAAACGTATACCATATTACCAGAAAAAGTTTGGAGGGCGTACTTACATTTTTAGCTGCTTCATCATAATTATGTAGAGAGGCAATTTTTTTAACTTTTTTTATACTTGTTTGAGGCAAAACATTGCCAACCTATTGGCCACTAGAGTATCTACAGCTCACCGTCAAAGGCGACAGAGGACGACAGTCTGGCCGTGTTCCTCAAACCCAGTGATTCTCTTGTCCACATCTCCACTGACTGCGATCTGGTTCTCCTTCATCCACTCCCTGTTACCTATCACCACCTGCAGGATGTTGGAGTAGTAATTATCATTCTACAGCAATAGGTGCAAGAGACTTGTGTAGCATGCTTCATATGCACTTAGCACATTATTCATGGGCAAATCAAGGCGCCGGGCCAGTTCTGTATCCGCCATACACATACAGGAAAATGTGCACGACACAAAGACTTAGAGTACATGATATTTAACATATACTGAGTAGGTACAGCTACAGTGTCTTGGTTTTCATGACTTACGTTAACTTCTCCCACTCCAGAGATCTGTCTCCCAGAGAGAGAAGCCTCGGTCTCCACACAAGAATATCGCTTGACTCTCTCCCTTCCTTCTCCCTCTCCCCCCTCCCCCCACCCCACCCCTGTCACTCTGCACTGGAGACCACGCCCGGGCGAGGCCTGGAAATCCAGACACTCCCCCCTCAGCCCCGCCCCAAGCTCCTCCTGGCAAAGTTAACGACGGCTCCTCCGAGGGGGTGTTCACTGTGGCTCTCGGCGACGCCGACAATGGCAGTGAAGAGTTTGGACGAGCAGAGAGAGTCGGAGACAAATACGATGACCTGCGTGACCTCTGGCTTGCCAACTGACAGAGTCCCAGTCTTGTCAAACACTACCGTCGTCACCTGATTAGTAATCAGGGAGGGTGAGAGAGGGAGAGAGGAAAAGGAAAACAATTGAAAGCAAGAGAAAAACGGGGAAAATTTGCAAATCGTGCGGATTGTGCAGAGAAAATATCACAGATTGCACTCTTCCACACGCTAATTGACTCTGACCCGTTCACGGATGACTCAACACAAGTAAGACTTTCAGACAAGAAAGAAGAGAGGTGCTGGCTGACCTTATGAGCCGTCTCCAGGGACTCGCCTCCCTTAATGAGGATTCCGTTCTGAGCCCCCACCCCCGTTCCGACCATGACAGCAGTGGGTGTGGCCAACCCCAGAGCACACGGACATGATATGAGGAGCACCGCCATCGCGTGGACAAAGGCCTCACTGATGTAGTAGCAGTGTGCAGGGCGCTCCGATTCAGACTTGCACTGCAGATAGCAAGCAGGCTCATGAACCACTGGCCTTAATGCTATATACACCACTTTTTTCAAAGGAAAAGTATACTCTGTGCTACGGCCAGAAACACTGTAACTTAACATGTGTTGGTCACATGATCAATGCACGAGGTCATGTGACTCTCACCTGAGGATCATGTGATGCCACTCCTACCACAATGGCCCAGGCGATGAAGGTGATGAGAGCCAGTGAGACAATGGCAGGCACAAACACTGCGGCGATGCGGTCTGCCAGTCTTTGAATGGGCGCCTGAGAGGGAGGAAGAGAGGGAGAGGGAGGAGGAGAGGAAGGAGAAAAAGACTCAACATCCTACTAACGAGGACACACAAACAATAGGGCAAACGTCCAGAACGGTGCTTCCTAAACTTGATACCTTCTGTGCTTGTACTCGCCTCTACGAATTGTTTTACATGGGAGGCACATTTTGTGGTATAATAGAGAAAAGCCCAACTGTTCCCCCAGGTGAGAAAGAGCTTGGCCATTTCCATACATCTCTGGCTAACCTTGGAGGTCTGTGCTTCTTCCACAAGTCGCACAATCTGAGACAACATTGTCTCGGTCCCCACGTGAGTCGCCTTCAATTGGAGCACACCATTCTGGTTGAGGGATCCTCCAATTACTGTGTCTCCTGTTGCCTTGGAGACTGGCATTGGCTCACCTGGACACCGACAGATAAGAGGGTGAAAGAAGCATTATCAAAATGGGACAGGGCTGGGACAAGGCTGGGACAGTTGTATATCAAAATGAGTCTCAAAGTAGATAACTAGTGTTATGGAGAGTTTTCTCAACACAATACACACGAGCTTGATTAAAACGGTTTTCCCTGAGATTAAGCGTATTACACTGGGGATGAGTGTTAGAAAAGAGGAGAGAGAGGAGAGAGAAATAGGAGAGATAGAGAGAGGAGAGAGAGACAGGAGAGAGAGAGAGAGAGAGGAGCATGCATGGCTGACCAGTAATGAGGCTCTCATCAATGGAGGAGGAGCCACTGAGGACGATGGCGTCAACAGGAATCTTCTCTCCCGGCAGAACCCTAAGCTTGTCTCCTCGCTGGACCAGCTCCACCGATATCATCTCCTCCCTGCATTACATCATTACCCATGACGTCATAATCATTCCTCTAGATGACATCATTAATTATTCCTCATTGTGTCATAATGAGTCGTGGCCTAAACCCAATGATGTAATCTCAAACTGTACCTCTCTCTGTCTTTCTCCTGAGTGGTGATAAGTCGAGCCTCCGTGGCTTGAAGAGACACCAGTTTAGCCAGCGCCTCAGAAGTCTTTCCCTGCACAAGAGTAAAAGGAGACAACACACGAAAAATGGCGGATAGTTAGTGGAGAAAGAGAGCACAGTTATATACAAAGAGTGAATAGTTGAACAATCACACTAGAAAAGTAGTGATGTCGTGTGTATAATTTTAACCATAGACAACTACACTGTAGCTAAATCTTATACTAACTGGTTACCTTGGCGATGTGCTCCAAGTAGCGACCGAGAGACACGAAGGCCAGCAGCATGGGCGGAGTCTCAAAAAAGGTCTTGGTTGGAGAATGAGTGATGACAGCTGCCGTGAAGAGAGCACACACCTGAGGGAGACCCACACACCATGAGAGAGAGAGGGAGGAGAGAGGGAGAGAGGGAGAGAGACCCACACACACCAAGAGAGAGAGAGAGGGAGACCCACACACACCAAGAGAGAGAGAGAGAGACCCACACACACCAAGAGAGAGAGAGAGGGAGGAGACCCACACACACCAAGAGAGAGAGAGAGAGGAGAGAGGGAGAGAGAGGGAGAGACCCACACACCAAGAGAGAGAGAGAGAGAGGGAGGAGACCCACACACACCAAGAGAGAGAGAGAGGAGAGAGGGAGAGAGAGAGAGAGAGAGAGAGAGACCCACACACACCAAGAGAGAGAGAGAGAGGGAGGGAGGAGACCCACACACACCAAGAGAGAGAGAGAGGGAGGGAGAGAGAGAGGGAGAGAGACCCACACACACCAAGAGAGAGAGAGAGGGAGGGAGAGAGACCCACACACCAAGAGAGAGAGAGAGGGAGGGAGAGAGAGAGAGGGAGAGAGACCCACACACCAAGAGAGAGAGAGAGGGAGAGAGAGAGGGGGACCCACACACACCAAGAGAGAGAGAGAGGGAGAGGGAGAGAGAGAGGGAGAGGAGAGAGGAGAGGAGAGAGAGAGAGAGAGAGAGAGAGAGGGAGAGAGAAATAGTTAATACACACAGAGAGAGAGAGACAGAAAAAAATGCACGACAAAGCGGGAAATTTGTAACTTTCACAAAATTTGAAATGATTATACACAGTTTACCGAGTACACGTAGGCGATGGTGGTTCCCAGGGCGATGAGGACGTCCATGTTGGCTGCTCCGTGTCGCACCGACTTGTAGCCAGACACGTAGAACTGACGACCACCTACAATCTGTTACCACGGAGACCACAGGGATGGAAACTCATTAGTGCATGTCCAAACATGAAAAACATTCTGAGAATTCCAATTATCTATAGCTGAGACCAATTACATGTCAATGGTAGTTGACTTGTTTGCCTTGCCTTGCCTTTCTAGGTGTGTATTGCACATATACAGCACACAGATTGTGTTACAGGTTCACTGGTATATAGCATAGTACATATATACACACTGCACAGGAAAGACATTGAGACTGTTTGGAGTGAAATTGGCTGGCGGTTTACCACAACTACATCCCAATTACACTCGGACTTTTGCGCAGCATTAACCCAGCAAGGAAGTAAAGACACCATTTACATTATCACACACTCCTCCCTTGAAAACCCCTCTGGTTGTCAATTCAATGTATATACACCTGGACAAATGTGGAGATGAGGAAGAGAAGTAGGTCTCGTATGGTGACCCCAGGAATGATGATGGTCCAGTGAACTCCACTGGGGATGAATGCCAGTAGAACAGCTGGGACGGCAAACACGGCGGTCACCACAAACGTCCACCTCCAGCGACGAATGGTGCTAGAGTTGTCGAAGTCTGTCTGGACCAGCGACTTGGCCACTGACTTTGCCTCAAAACCTGCGTCCTTCACAACAACACAAACAACAAACGTCTCACTTTGAAATACTCGTAAAAAAACAAACACCCCTCTTGTGTCTATAAGATCATGTGTAAACAACTACTTGGGAAGTGGGATAATTATAAACTCCCCAAATTACTGTCGGGCAACCTTCCCTGGTTGAAAGTGTCAGTCAGTGTGTGTGTATACAAATACTGTCCATTGTACAATTACATACTTACCTCCACTAGCTTGATGATGTCACGAGGTCCGATAACACTGGGGTCAAAGTCCACGCGACCTCGTCCGGTTGCCAAGGTGACAACGGCTCTCTCTATTCCGGGTGTCTGCGTGAGCGTTCTCTCAATGAGGTGGACACACGAGGAACACGTCATGCCTGTTATCTGGGTAGAGAAGAAAGACAAAAAGGAGGGAGGGGAAGACAGGAGAGGAAATTGAGAACATGAAGCAAATGCCGAGGACACGTATTTCAGGCAGTCCTCACTGCTAGGTCCAGCTGCCCCTCCTGGTAAATGTCCGTCTCCGAAATGAGCTGTGCCCCAAACCCCAGAGCCTGTATCTCGGCGACTATCCTGTCGGGGCTGATCCTGTCCGCTGCATACTGCACGTCTGCTTTCTCAGAGAGGAGAGCCACCAGCACTGAGTGGATACCTGGAACCACACACCACAAGATCCTAACCACTCTTCCAGGTATGAACTAACTTCCACTCAGTGGGAGAACACTAATCTACCTATATACACTCCACCGCTGGCTGGCTATACACTGGAATTATTCTGGTGGAGACAAACTATTCACAGGAAGGCAATAGCCAACATTCCTGTATTAATGTACTCCTAGTAGCAGTTGTACCCACATGGCTCCCCGCATTTCTCGTGTAGAGGCCAACAAATACGGTCAAAGTTTGTGTCGCGAGACAACACTTCAACGAACGGTCTTCCCAATACATTACATTATTGTTGCATTATTGCATGTAACACGTTCCCCATCATACACCCATACATTGAAATGGCACGAGGCTCTGTCTCAAGACACAACAGAGTGTAAGTTGCTCACCGTCCATTTTCCCAAGATGTCTCTCAATCTTTGCCACGCAGGAAGAACAGCTCATCCCCGTCACCTTCACCACCGCCTTCTTCTTGGTGGAGTCCGAACCGTCGCTAAGGACGACGACCTCTGACCCTCCTCCCCTGGCCGGAGATGATTTTCTGAATTGGACACTTGGCAGTAGTTGTTTTCCTGATCTCTTCTGTGGGGGAGATGGAGGAGTTACAGATGTACATTGTGATCAACAAGGATGATTAATATACCGTTCTTTTCTTCTTTGATTGGGTGAGCCCCTGTTTATCAGGGCTCAGCAGTGGGTTATCGCTGTCAGCCCCCTCGCTGTCGCTGGACAGGACACTGTCAACAACAGTGGAGGCAGCAGAACCAACCACTGTGGCTGTGGCAGCATCAACTGGTGGTGGTAGGTCAGAGGAAGTGGCTGGAGGAAGAGGGAAGAGTGGTCACATTACTTGCTGGAGCAGAGACAAGAGGCAACACAATGAGCAACTCATTATGTGACGGTTCCTGTGTTTTCTAGGAAGAAGTGCATCGTGTATGTATCACAGCATTGCTTTAATGGTTGCATCATTTCAACTTACAACTTTGTTTGCAGTGTTTTTCATGGGAAAAATCACATGTAATACCTGAAATTGCGACGACGTCAAATCCAGTGTCTTCTATAGCTGATCGTATCTCCTCCGTTCCAACCTGCCCCTCCCTGTACTCGACCACTCCCTCTTTTGTTGCCAGGGTAACGGTGACACTGACCACACCCCCTAGGTCTCCGACGACAGACTCAATGAGATTCACACATGAATGGCAGGTCATTCCCTCGATCCTCACAAAACACTTCTTCACACCCTCCCCACCGTCCCCCTCCTCCCCACCAGCTCCAGTTGACATTTCCTCACAGCTGGCCCCAAACCCTAGCTCTTCAATGGCTCCACGTAGCTGCTCCACACTGAGGAGGCCCCTGTCATAAGTGATACTGGCGTTCTTATCCGAAAGAGACACCGAGATGTTTTTAACCCCCTCCATCTTTCCGAGATTGCTACTAATGTTGGACACACACGACTGGCACACCATGCCTTCGATTCCCACAACCGCTCTCTCCATTCCCATTCCTGCACCAGTCTCATTCCGGAACGGAACAGAGACAGAGGTACCGAGAGCTTCAGAAGTGTGGGTTGAAATGTGTCGAGCTTCAAATCCCATGTCGTCAATTGCCGACACCAGGGTCTGCGGAGTGGTTTGAGTCGGGTCGAATTCCACCATTGCCTCCTTCCCTTGGAGAGAGACTCTGACGCCCTGTACACCGCGTTCCTTGGAGATTGTGGTCTCGATGAGCTGGACGCAGGAGTGACATACCATGCCTTCCACGCTAGCCAGGCAGACGGCGTGGCGTGTGGAGAGCGGCTGAGAGACGTATGCGTCCGGAGCCGCCGCAGACGAGGAGAGAGAAGTCACAACTTTCGAGCGGAAGTCGGTTACAGCAGAAGGGGCGCATGACTTGCTGACCAAACTCAGCCTCTCGTTATCTGGCTCAGTTCGAGTCTTGGTTCCGAGTAGATCTGGTGAAAGTACAAGGCTCGGCTTCCGCCCACCACCACTGGGGCAGTAGACGACCAAGCAAGCTTCTTCTTCCATCGATCACAAAGCTAATCTACTCTTCAATATTATTCTCTCTAGGCGATTCGTTAAATTAGAAGTTCCATACGTCATGCCACCCACACGTACATATACATGCACTTTCGCTCCACCCACGCACACTCTGAGAGAGTTAACCACAAGAAATTGAAGGCGTATCTCCCAATAGCTATATAGCTATGGTATGGAGAAGCCGCTGGAGATAGTAGACGCGCACATGCATCTGTGGTCTCCGCAGACCCATCCTTGGATCGAGAAAGTCAGGGACGGAGGCCATCCTGCAGGGAAATTCGGTAACTAAGGACGGCACAGATATCTCAGCCTCCTTGCTAAAGCCGTTTCCCTTTCTCAATTCGTACAGAGTCTGTGACCACGTATCTACTAGACGAATACCTGAAGGACGTGGGAGGACTATAATGTAACGCACTCAGTACACGTAGAGACAGCCTGGCCGGGAGATCCAGTGGGAGAAACGAAGTATAACTATAGATTATAGCCACACTTTGTGCTACTGTAGTACTACATACACGCCCCACATTCACACACACGATACATTTGGGAAGAAACCATATGTGTAGGATTTTTTGTACCCACTACAGTTGGTTGGATGGAATAGCAGACTCTAACAGCAGAGGATTGCCCAAAGGTGTGATGAGCTCCAGGTTTTTTCTATATTGTACCAAAGAGTCTCTAATTCTCTATGTTTTGTTCAGCGATAGTGGGCCACTGTGATCTGTCCTCTCCGCAAGCTGAGGACATTCTCTCTCGTCACGTTCAATCCAAGAGATTCCGTGGCATAAGACACATACTAAACTGCCACGCTACAAAAGCAATCTATTCGGAGGCCCCCCATGATGACTTTCTAACGAACCCCAAATGGCTCGAGGGGGTCGCCCTCCTACAGAAATTTGGCCTCTCGTTTGAAATTCATATTCTACCAGCTCAGATGCAGAGGTAATGGATCACCTGCCCACATAATAGCATGTTGGATTCCTATAACATTTTGACACTCTTTTAGTTGCATTCCTACAGAATTAATTTGGCTGGCAAAGCTGAGAAATATGTGCTTCTTAACCGTAGCTAGGAAGTAATCCCGGCATAAGATGGTAAAAAACGTTTTGCTGTCTACATTCAAAAACACCATCTACTACACTGGAGTATAATATTATTACTATATATAATCGTGATCTTCCTATTTTTCATAACTTCCTCCAAGTAGGTGCCATATGATTATTATGAAACCTTCCGTTAGTTTCCTATAGTATACAATTATTGTGAAATTATCCCATAGTTTCCACTGGAACTTGCAGATCATGTCAGGTAAAGGTGCCAGGCTTAATGACAGTTCCTATGACTCTGTGTTCCTAGAATCTTGAGCCTCACTGTGCTAGAATGATCTCCTACAACTGCTGACACACACACACACACACACACACACAGTTAATTGATGCGGTCGGCATGCAAGCACACACAATGTGGGATGAGGCAGTACATTGGGTGTTGGTTTGGTAAGAGTAGAGGATGTTTCCAAATCAGATGCCACGAGAATGCTTTCCTATTTACCAAAGTACATTTGCCGGTACATTTCATCTGAAGTGGATTAACCTAAAGTGTGCCTGAGTGTAACTATATCCCACTCTAGAGATTCCTGAGGCTTTTGGGACCATCAGGTAGTAATGTGTGTGTTGTCTGTTTTTTCAGAGCTGCAGAGGTGACCAGGATGTTCCCAGGAGTGATGTTCATGGTCAACCACTGCGGACTGCCCTATGAGAGAGACACACAGACAATGAAGATATGGAGAGAAGGTTCCAGACTAATGCATACGCTCCAAACATCACAGTACTATATATAACCTGGAGGACTTTTACTACATTGCAAGCCAAGACAAAAATAGCTGTGCTTTAGCTGCTATAATTATAGCATAGAGGGGGAAATATTTGACAACATGAGTGGGCAGTATATAGCTAGTTCTATAGTTGCTCAGGCAGAACCAGCTATTTGAAGGTACATGTCACCAACAGCATTTCTAGGAATGTCCAAAACCTAGGAGTCTGGACCTAGCTTCCCCTGTTGTTAGCACACCAAGCTATATACACTACTTATCTTGAAATTGTTTTCTGGGAACCTCTAAATGGCCTACCTATTGAGGTCAACATGACTGTGGTACCCTTAATTGCAATTTCTGGGAATTTTCCTCTCCCTCTCATATCAGGTGGGTTTATATCAAAAAGTGTAAGCTGTATATATACCTAGCTATTAGCTAGACAACGTGTACTGTTTGTTTACCAGTAGTGAAAGAGAAAGCAGCCTACTGTCATGATGTGGAGAGCGATTTATCGGAAAGAGTGTAAGAGTATAAGCCTGACTCTGCCCACTTCAGAGAAAGTGTGTTCATCTCACGCTAAATACCGCTGGAAACACTAAATACCGCGGGAGCTAGCTCATAGGTCCGTGTAATTACGACAGACTAGTTCAGCATGGTCTAATTATGGCAGACTATAAAACGTTATTTATACCCACTGCAACAGCATATCATCGCTGTTTGTATAAACCTTGCTGCAACCTAGCAACCACCAGTTTGTGTAACCACTGGAACCAAATAGTACAGTAGTCAGTGTTAGATGAAATCAACCTCTGTTATGAAGGGCAACTGTTTCTACCGTCTCCAGGAAATGGTTTGAGTATGATTTCCAGTGCATGTATCAAAGGGCACACCGGCAGGCTCTACCACCAGGCTCTACCACCATTCCTCTTACGTCTAGCCCCAAACCTGGCAACTACCCCACAAAAAACAACCACCTACACACTCAATATGCTAGGAACCTGGGAAGGATATGAGGAAAGTAACCTCATGAATAGAACCTTTAACCCTCTGCCCACCCCCAGGTCTCACGGAGCTCGCCCGTCAGGCCAACGTCTACTGCAAGGTTTCTGGGGTGTTTGCTACCGACAGGAACTGGACACAGGACTCGGTGGCTGAGGTGGTGCAACCTGTTCTGGACATCTTTGGCATGGACAGGTAGAGTGAAAACCTCTCAGTAATGGACGCCTTCTTGGGGACATCGCAAAATGGGTCAAGACCAAATGTTCTTTATAGAGAGGTATTCAGAGAGTCCATTTTCAGAGGTTTCACTGCGTACCGGTCCATTTACCCCTGGCCTCCCTCTCTGCTTGGCGGCCAACTAGGTTTCCCAGAACCCAGCCATTGCTCTCTAAAGTTGCATTTGGCACTATGTATACATTCACAATGGAGATAGAAATGTAGACATATCAGCCCAATACAACCAGTCAGGAATATTACCGCCCCTGTATACCCAGAGGAAAGGGATATTAGCTCTTTATTCAAGGACATAACCAGACTAGAGCAGCCCTTTCCCTGAGTATGTCCCAATACTGGAATAGTATTTATCTACTACTGCTGACACGAGATATGGAGACAGTGGTCGATGTGAGTTACTTATGCTGGCGGGCACTGCCGGTGAACCACGTCCAACCTTACCTGGTCGACTGGAGACCGTCATTTGCTTAGAACTTGCACATGCTCAGAGTGCATGTGAGCGCTCAGCGGAAGTGCTGGAGTATATATATATAAATAACCATGAATGATAACAACAAGAAAAAATTGAACTTACAATCATCTTTAGTTTGGAAATTGGAGGTATACTAATAAAGATCAAATTAACCAAAGTGTGGAAGAATGTCGTTTAGAACAATACATAATATAGCTCTAAGCATAATCAAGTAGACATTCTCTCTGCCTTTTTCTACTTCCTTGCCTTCCGGGTTTTGTTTGGACGCGTTGGTCTTGACGATGATGATTATTAACTACACTTTAGAACAACAACTGAAATTATTGACAGTGGGGGGGGAGAACGAGGAGGGGGAGAAGACAAAATAACTAGTTGAAAAAGGATAAATCCACGAGGTGGAAATTTTGAATCCATAGCCGCAACGCACGGGCGCAAGAAATGGTGTGTAATATATGGTAGGGTAAAATTTTTCAACAGTAACCACTAAGCATACATATCCCCTGTAACAAATCACTGGCACCCTCGTAGAAAGTTTTAAGTTTAGACTGACGCAATATAAGAGTACAAATCAACGCCAATTGTGAATGTGGACACTTAAGATGTAAACATCTAGAATGCAAAAGCAAACTTGACATACTTTGTGTTCTTCAATGAGGTAATGCAATGAGTCGATGGGGTTTCTGGCGAATCAAGACCTAGTGCTCCGCCGAAGAGGACTCAGAGATGGCTAGAACTGGTCGCAACCTAAGGAAAAGTGCCGCAACACATTAATTGCCCGTCCCAGAAAGACCAGCGACGCTCGAACGTATTCCTGCTATCATGCAATTTAGGTGGGAACACGGACCCTTACTTAAGAATGAAGCGGTACCCTGCAGTGGAAACCTCCTGTATAGTCTAGCATAGGCGAGCTAGTCTTCTCGAAAATCAAACCAACGTCATACGTAGGTGAAAGTATGGGCGACATATATAGGTCTGGATGAGACCACATCAAAATTTGCGACTTGTACCCACAGAAACAGTGGCCGTGTCCGCGGAAGTGCCTCAGCGTGAGAGGTTTTCACTCTACCTGTCCATGCCAAATGAGATTCCCGTGCTGCCCATAACCACAAGGGATAGAGATTGCACACCCAACCCCATCTGCACCCCAAAAGCACTACACAGACCGTTTCTACTGCTGTGTCCCAGAAACTTAGGTCCTGTCGGTCCTCCCATGATTCCGGATAAGCAAACACTGCACCCAACTCGAACGAGCCCATACCGAAAGCGACTGGGATAGTTCCGTCGAAGACGGGAAACATGAGCCATCCTATGGGTTGTGGCCAGCTGACAGATGCGTTGACCCAGCCCATACATGGTAGACCGACGCTCAACGTAGGACAGATGCCTGTGGTGAGCGGATCTGTAAGATCAGATGATGCGCTCCTAATCTCTTAAAGACCAAAGCCACCCCGGGGCCTACTTACCCAATCCATTCCTGACATAGCAAGAAAGTTTTGGAGCGTCTTCACTCCCTCAAAAAATAAATGACATCCCTATCCTCTCAGACAACGCGCTCTTCCATAAGACAACATGGGCAATCTTAATACAAATTATTCACAGTGTTGCTCAGAGTGTGGTTAGAAATCAGTTGATGCTACCCTGCGTATTTACCCAATATGAACATTATAGCCCTGTGGCGGATCTGGTTTATTGTCCCCTGCCCTGACCCGCTTTGGGAGGGCGTTACAAGAGCTGTTCTCCAAAAGAGATGAACCCCTGCCCGATTGCCAAGAGTCCGGGTGAGTAAATGATAGACGCTTTCGTGGTATAGCGGCTAAGAGTGTGATAGAGCCAAATGGCCGCCGGTGTGGGCGCCTTTTGATACAATGCACTGGACAAATGCCGCCATGTTACTCGACCAATTGCCGACCCTGTGTAAAGGATGTACCACCATGCGCCCGTTAAAATAGAGCCCTACCGTACAAGAATTTGTCTAATCTTTCCAGATAACACAAAGGTTGGAATTTCTTATCATATTACCTATCCCGTCTGAATCTTATCGGTGACGTCAATGATGTTTGTGTCCTCAGTGGGTTGGCTAATCGCACAAGAAACTACCGGGTCCGTGGGTTGTCGTTTAGGCATTGACAGCTGTTCAAATGGTTTTCCTAAATACAAAACAGCTATGCCTATTTCCAAATCCACTCGACATGTGTGTCGACAAGCCATAGAGCGTGTGCTGATGAGACTATTAAAACAGAATTTTGCTTAGTTATCCTGCCGCGCTTAAGAAATAATTGTTAGACCTTTCGATGCGGTATGAAAATCTAGGGTAGCATTGAATCAATCGTTGCGTAATTACACGACCTGAGTGAGAGACCCTAAAAAAAGACAGTACCAGCGTGCTATTAAGCTCAAGACCGAAATATTATAATATGTTAGATTTATATAAATAAACATAATGTATGTCACATAGGTGAAAGTAAAGGAGTGGGGGTTAGCGTAGAGATTAATAGGCCATCACTGTGTTGCGATAGCGATGATAGAAGGAAAAGAGAGAGGTAGGAGAGAGGGATAGGGAAAAAAGGGAAAGAAGGGAGGGTGTGGGCCAAAAAGAGGAGGGAAGGTGAAGGGGAGGTGCAGGCGGGAGGAATATACTCTATATAAAAGGCAAAGACGTAAAGATGGGAAGAACTTTCGCTAAGGAAATAAAGTCCGTACTCCCTCCACAATAACCCTATGCGGAACTGACTTTATATCCGAATCCTTCGGATATGAAGGCCTGCTGGCTTCTTTTTGCCCTCTTTCACTACTGGGTCATAAGTGCAAACAGTACACGTGGTTGGTGTTAAAGGAATAATCCATACCATCTTATGAAGAAATTTATCAATATAATGAAACAGAAACTTATACCACCGTTTTTGATTATATAATAAACCACAGGATAACACGCTATCCTGATTATGAAGATTGGGTTATGGAGGAAAGCAACCGTCAGCGCGAGAAAAAATTTCTCGCAAGTTTAAGATCAACCGTGAATCCTAGAACCACAGTACACTTGGTGTGGGACTGCGTCATGTACGCTGGTAGGTCTTCGAGAAGCCAATATATAGCACTAGGCTTGCCGCCACAGGAAAAACTGAACTACATCCTCCGCATTGCCGATTAGTAGGTGTATATAGCTTGTGTGCTGTGACTAAGCAACAGGGGAATGCTAGCTGCAGCGACCTGCCTACCGCCGTTTGGACAGCGGCTGTGCCTGAGGAGATATGCTTTGTTGGTGACAGATCGGGTCCCTTCAAATAGCTGGTTAAAATTGCCTGGCCAGAAATCTTCGAATACCAACGTCATGGTAGCCCACGAAGCCTAGGCGTATATCCATCTGTTAGCAACCACGCTGCATGTGTAAATATTTTCCCCCTCTATGCTATATTGATAGCAGCTAAAGCGCAGCCTATTTTTTTGTCTTCGGTGCTGTTGGTTTCGTCATGAGATTTATCCCCTCGGCCCTTACTATCCCTATAGAGTCCCTGTGACCGCGGGTATATATTTAATGTGCCTACCTGTTTCGACATAGCACTTGATTCCCAGCACCTGGTAAAGGCTTATGCGTAGTCAACTAAGCATTTTTATTTCTGTGGATATGCGTGGTATCGTACAGTCCATGTCTTTTGGTGCATTTGTCTGTGTGTTGATATTTAACATTCTTCTCTGAGCAATTAGTGGCAGTCTCTCGATGCCTCTGTTGTCTCTTTCCTGCACCAGATGATAACTATTGCACCCCTGCCCCTCGGAACACTCTCCTGGTCAAAGAAATCCTCGTGCAGACTCTGAAGCGATGACAAAGAGAATGCAAAATTGAACACCGTAAAATCCCTAACACACAAGCAAGATAAATAAGCGGTAACAATCCATCCAATGGATGTGGTGAGCCAAACAGAAGAGCCTTCTGAGGAGTCCCGCAGTCCTAGAGTGGGAGGAGTGGTCTAGGTTACGACTGCAGCACACTTTTAGGATTAATCCACTATGCATGAGTGGAAGAGCCGATGGGTTCACCCGACAGTTTATGTACTGGGTGTACGAAGGTAAAAAGTAGCGGGAAGAGCAGAACTTGTCTTCGGGCCCCTTGGGGGACATGCCCTGATTTCGAAGGGGAGGGAAGGAAAACCAACCTCTGACATGTCCCTACTCTTGACCAAACCAACACCCAATGTACTGCCTCATCCCACATTGTGAGTTCAAAGCGACCAAGTTGTCGGATGTGTGTCATTGCCGAGGAGTAGTTGAGCTTGGCTGGCGTTAGTCTACCTCCGTGATGATGTGCCATCATTTAGCCCTGCTACTCAAGTTGCTTGCATTCGGCCTTATGCCCGACCGCCGACCCATCTTTATTTCCATACAATAAAATAATAACACGGCAAAAGTTAGTGCCGTTGTGAAGGGTTCTACCAGAGGAGGCCGAGCATTTTAACTATTCCCCGGATGATGGGCTGATGAATTTTGTGTTGGCCCCTAATATGTGAATGGGGGAATTCCTCGGGCTGTTGTGCCAGCAGGGCCATTATGGTGTTCGCAGACACCAAACCCCATGAGCTCAATAAGAGGTTGTGTAGGCCCATGCGAGAAAGATCAGTGGGAATGACGTAGTAAAGTCATACAGTAATAATGGTAAAGCCGCATTCTCCAAAGAGTGTCCTTTCAATTCATGGACGATGAAAAAACTTCAGCATGTTTTAGGTGATAG